AAGGAAGGAAGGAAGGAAGGAAGGAAAAAAGAAAGGAAGGAAGGAAAAAAAGAAAGGAAGAAAGGAAGGAAAAAAGAAAGAAAGAGAGAGAGGGAGAGAGGGAGGGAAGGGAGGAAGGAAGGAAGGAAGGAAGGAAGGGAGGGAGGAAGGAAGGGAGGAAGGAAGGGAGAGGGAGGGAGAAAGCAACCTAGTCACAGGATTTAGCTGTATTATTCTGGACTGCCTCAACCAAGAGCCAGGCAAGTATGTCAGTCCATCTGACTGTCTGTCCCACAAGCACACAGACACCTGTCTCCTGAGCAGGTCTTGGGAGGTGGGTCTTCTCCAGGAGGAAGCTGTGTCCTCCTCCTGCCCCCCCCCCCTGCAGAGTTAAGGGAGTTCTCTCTCTCTCTCTCTCTCTCTCCCAACAGAGATCTCAGCTACCAGCTGCCAGGGCAGGAGACTAAGGAGGGACTGGAGCTGGACAGCAGAGGCTGTTCCTAGATGATTAATCGAGGTTCCTGTTTACTAGGCACCTGGAACATTCCAGACACAATGACAAATACGCCAGAGTGCCATACCCTATTTGCTCCTAAAAATACAACCCTGGGAAGACAGTGGGGCCAGCCGTGTCACCCAGGAGGAAGCTGGCTCAGAGAGGTGAAGTCACTCTCCTAATGCCACTCAGCACAGTGCTGGCCTTCTGACTTGGGTCTGACCCCATGAGCCCACAAGGGCAGGAAGGGACCCATGCCACTGTCATAGATATGTGTCCCCACCACACCACCTATGGACATACAGTAGATGCTCCAGAAACAGTGCTCAGAGTAAAGGAAGTTCATCAAGACTGGCTCTGCAGCCCTGGCTGGCCTTGAGCGTCTACTGCCTCAGCCTTCCAAAGGTTGGGACTACAGGTGTGCACTATGACACCCAATTTGAGGTGATCTTTTCTTCTTTCTTTCTTTGTCCGGTTGTGGGGCCTGAACTCTGGGCCTGGGTGCTGTCCCTCAGCTCTTCAGTTCAAGGCTAGTGTTCTACCACTTGAGCCACAGAGCCACTTCTGGCTTTTTCTGCTTATGGGGTGCTGAGGAATCAAACGTAGGGCCTCATGCATGCAAGGCAAGCACTCTATCACTGAGCCAACTTCCGAGTCCTCTTCTTCCCATCTTTTCCTCTCCTTTCTTCCTTTTTTTCCACAAAGTTCTAGATAGAATCCAGGACCTCTAACCTGCTTTGCCACTGACTCTCCTGCCCTTTCTCTTTTATCTTAGGTCCAAGGGTTAAGTATTCAGATATGTTCTGGACAGTGTCAGCAACTATGTTCCCTCATCCTGGAAGCTTTTACTGATAGCTCTGGTTGGGCCAATCCTATCTTCTAGACTCCCACACCTTTCTGGATTTCTGCCATCTGCCCTGCCCGTGCTGAACTGCCAATGTCTGGAGATGGGCTGTGTCTCCCTCCCCACCAGCCTGGGAGAACAGTCCTGCCCTGTTCTCCCTCTCAGCAAAGCCAGCATTAAGCCAGACACACAGTAGGAGCTCAGAGAATGACTAGTGTCTGATCAGAACAGGAAGGTGAGGAGGGAAAGAAGAGAAGAAGGGAGGAAGGAAAGGAAGAAGGGAGAGAGGAAGGAAGCTGGCTATGTGTTTTGAGGTCAGATGAAATTTCCAAATGAAGGGAGAAGGAAACAAGGGAAAAGCACGCGGTCAGTGGGAAGAACTTGAGCAATGACTGGTGGGGGGGCGGGAAAGTGGCAGAATGTTCTTGGACACTATGTACTCGGGTTAGTTACAGCAGAGGGGCGGGTCAGGAGAGGGATGGCGGGCCACTGGAAAGAGGCCTGAGACAAAACAGCTCTGAAAAACAGCAGTGCTGAGCACCGACAGCACTCAGGAAGACATCTCACCAGAGGAAGAGTGGGGCCCGCAGGCTCCACAGAGGTAGCTTCCAAAAAGATGAGGAAGGGGCTGGGAAGGTGGCTCAGTGGTAGAGTGCTTGCCTAGCATGCCTGAAGCTCTGGGTTTGATTCCTCAGTACCACATGCACAGAAAAAGCCGGAAGTGGCGCTGTGGTTCTAGTGGTAGAGTGCTAGCCTTGAGCAAAAGCAGCTCAGGGACAGTGCCCAGACCCTGAGTTCAAGCCCCAAGAATGGCCAAAAGAAAAAAAAAAGATGAGGAAAAGCTAGAGACAGGGAGGTCTGGGAAAAAGACAAGTGAGGGATGGATCTGCATCCTTACAGGGGTTAAAAATGACAGGTTTGAAACTCAAGCAGGACTGAGAACCCTGAGCAAGTGACATCACCTTTCTGTACCTCAGTTTCCTTATCTGTAAGATGGAGATAACTGTCCCCCACTTGGCTCCTGTCTGAATTCAGAGGTAACACAAAGCACTTAGAATATTGCCTGATGATCCCAAGAACTGTAAGCGTATCAAAAGTTCAAGTCCAGCCTGGGACACATAGGGAGACAGGTCTAAAAAATATAATTTTTTGGGGTCGGTCGTGGGGCTTGAACTCTGGGCCTGGAAGCTGCTCCTCAGCTCTTTAGCTCAAGGCAAGTGCTCTACCATTTGAGCCACAGTGCCACTTCCAGTTTTCTGAGTGGTTTATTGGAGATAAGAGTCTCAAGGACTTTTGTGCCTAGGCTGGCTTTGAACTGCAATTCTCAGATCTCAGCCTCTTGAGTAGCTAGGATTAACAGGCATGAGCCACCAGCAGCCAGTAAATAAATATTTTTTAAAGGGTCTACACCTTAATCACAGTATCTACATTATAGGACTGCTGTGAAGAGTAAATTAACCACAGCAGAGAGCAGAGAGGCTACACAGGGTCAGGCAGGAGTAAGAGTCAGCATGAACTCTTTGTCACGGTTATTATTACTCTGTCGTTGTTATTATTGTTTGGCATAACTGGGGGAGAGGGGTTGAATGCAATCCAGGTAGCCACGCCTCCAGCCCCACTGTTATTCTTACTATCAGTCACCCACTTCCAGCTCAGCTGGTCCTAGATGCCAAAGAGATGAGAGTAGACATAAGAGTGATGGCAGAAAGCCCCTGAGGGCTCAGCTCAGTGCACGGGCACTGGCATGTCCAGGTAGGTCTGTGTATGAACACATCCCTTGGGCTGAGCTGCGCTGAGGGCAGACTCCAGCTAGGGACTCAGAGGCTAGCTGGCAGGCAGATGGACTATGGACTGCACTCCCAGACACAGGTGAAGCTTCCTTTCACACCAGCATCAGCTCCAACCTTCCCGCCCTCCCTCCCCAAACCTGTCCAGCAAGCCCTTCTTATTCACCTGGGAAGAGCCACACCCGAGCTCGGGGCCAGGGTGGAAGAGGTAAACAAGAGTTCCCAGGGTCCTTGGGGAGCTGGGGACTACAGGAAGATCAGGTGGGTCCCTGGCTAAGCTGAGCATTTTTAGGTTAGGGGTGTGTGTGTGATTGCATTCTACAGAAAAACGGGCAAAGGTATGAGGAAAGTTTATGACCACTTAAGGCAGAAGCCAGACTAAAACATCTAGGCAAGAAGGGGTACTCCGTCTCCCTATTGTGTTCTTCATCTCCCCCAGATGATTCAAGTCAAGCTACAGACTCTGGCTGCAAAATTATGTAAATACACATATACCCATACACACAATTGAGCAGGGTGCTTGTGGTTCTACACCTGAAATCCTAGCTACTCAGGAGATTGAGATCTGAGGATCAAGATTCAAAACCAGCCCAGGCAGGAAAGTCTGTGAAATTATCTCCAGTTAACCACCAAAAAGCAAAGATGTGGCTCAAGCAGTAGCACACCAGCCTTTAGTGGAAATAGCTAAGGGGTAGCACCCAGGCACTGAGAGTTCAAGCCCCAGTTCTGGCACAAAAAATAGATTTACCAAAAAAAAAAAAAAAAAAACATTCGGTGAATCAGACCACCCCCCTCCCAGACTGATTCGCTGTAGACCCCAGAACTGGAGAAAGTGAAGATGCTAGGAGAACCCTCTGACAACTCGGCTATCAAAGGAGGTCAGTGGATGGGAGAGGTACCTCTCAAAGCGGGAGATGGAAAGAAGCTAAGAGGCTGAGTCCCACTCACCCCGGAGGGATCCTCAGGATCGCTGGTACCTCCACTCCCAGTCACCAGGTCATCCTCAGACTCATCAAAAGATGAAGCAGAGGAGAAGCCGCCACTGCTGCCCCCCTCAATCCGGGAGGAGAGTCCCACCGGTTGGGCATCAGGCTCAGGAGTTTCAGGGGTAATGATGAGGCGAGGGACAGAGGACAGGGAGCTGCACTCCAGGTGAGAATGGGGATGAGTCACCAACTCCTCAGGTTCTGGTTCTTCTAAAGAACCATCTCCATTAGGCTCCCCTAAAAGACCAAAGTTTGTTCCAAGGGCTGTACACTGGGGACCATCGGTGCCATGCAGTCTCCAGGGACCATGTCTATCTTGTGTGGGGAAACCCTCAGTCCCAGGGTCTTTCCAAGATGTCTGAGTGTTTGCATGTTTGGGGGAGTCATCAGTATGTGAGTCTGTCCAGGAGCCTTCAGTATCCTGGGGTGTCTTGGAGCTATGGGCGTACAATTCTCTCCCTGTGCCATCGGCACTTGGTTTTGTTGAGAGGCAGGATCCATCTAGGTGAGTCCGGAGATTATCAACCCAAGGTTGGATACCCTCTTGTTCCGTTTGCCCCCCAAGTATTTCCAGCTCTGACCAGGGCTCATCAACCTTTGGCTGGGTGCAGAGATTGGCACAGTCTGGCTGAGCCTGGAGGTCGGATCTGTGTGGACCAGTCCAAACGCCATCTGTCGCAATCTCCGTCCAGGGACCGGCCATCTCCAGCTCTGGCCTGTGGTGGCTTCTTTTTCGATGTGTCTGGAGGCCGGACATGTCGGGTTCTGAATCGGGGCTGAGCTCCTCCGTCTCTCCGCTTCCTAAGCCAGCTGCTTCGGGCTCATCGGCTTGTCCATCTGTCCAGGATTCTGTCTGTGGAACGTCTGTCCGCACCTCCGGTCCCAGGCTGGTTCTTTCAGGCTCGGTGTGCAAGTGGAAGCCCTCTCTCCAGGCTGGAGGCCCGCCCCCCTCCGGCCGTCCCGTCGGGCCCCCAGCACTCGGCCCAGGTCGTTGCTGTCCGGGCTGCCGCCGCCGCCCACCTCGAGGCGTCTCCAGGCCCATGCGGGCCGTCGCCGCCGGCAGCGCCCCGGCCTCCGCCTCGCTCAGGCTCCCCCGGCACGGACAGCGCCTCATGCCCGCTCCCTCAGTTCGGGCTTCGGGCGGCTCGGCCCCCCTTTGCTTTCCCCGGCTTTAAATCCCGTGAGGGGTGTGGCAGGGGAGCCCCGACTCGCGGGGTTCCGGCCCGCGGGAGCTCCAGCCCGCCCAGCCACACAGGGGTTAACCGATACTCCACCTCCCAGGGAAAGCCCCGAGGCCCCGCCCACAGGAAATGACGCTCACGTTCCTTCCATCTGCGTCGAGGGGCGTGGCTTCCGCGCGCCGGATGTTGTTCCTGGCCGGGCCTCGCAGCGTGGAGGTGTAGTTCTGGAGACGCTGTTGGCGACCCCCTTCCCATTCACGTCTCCGGGGTCTCGAATCCCAGCTTCCCGATCACCCCTCGAGTGACCGGTTCAGCCGCGCCACCCACTCTTCATGCAGAAGCAAAACGAAATTTTCAAAGATTTGGAGACTCGTACCAGGCCGGGGTTCGAAACCCGTGTCTGCCACTTCCTCCGCCGTTTCTTTGAGCGAATGCTTTATGCTCCACTGAATTTCCGTAAGAAATGCTATGTGTTCGGCTGCGCATAGAGGCTATCACTGTAATCCCATCACTCAGAACCGGAAGGCTAAGAGAAGGAAGCCTGGGCTACTAGGTTTTTTCTGAGAAGCTAGCTCAAAAAGACGGGGAGGGGAGGGAGGGGGTGTGTGGCTCAGTTGGTAGAGCCACAGCCAATGAGCAGAGCGTCAGGGACCGAGTTTAAATCCCTGTCTCACAATAGAAACGAAGATAGATAGATAGATAGATAGGACTGGGCATGTAGCTTAGTGACAGAGTTGCATGCAAAAGGTTTTGGGTTCGATCTCAATGAAGGAAGGAAGTGAGAGAGGGAGGAAAGTAAGTGTATCTAGAGCAGTCGTTTGTACCCAGCTCTAATATTATTTCACTGTCTCTAATGGCCACTACTAATGACCAGTAAGGGCTGTCGTATTTTACAAATAAAGACACTTGAGGTGAAAGGGTCTGCCAGCCTCTAGCTTTTGTAGACTTGGGGTTATTTGCTATGTTCTGTATGTGAAACATCTGGTGCCAGGCTTGGTACTGACGATCTCAGCTCTTCAGGGGGTTATAGATACGTTTTACATTTTTGCCCCAATGGTAAGCTGCCTCCAGCTCTTTTTTTTTTTTTTTTGTCGGTCATGGGACTTGAACTCTGGGCCTGGGCGCTGTCCCTCAGCTCTTCAGCTCAAGGCCAGTGCTCTACCACTTGAG